GGTCCTCTGGACGGGTTCTTCTCTAATGAAATGTTTCGTCTGTCCTCCAAGAGACTTCTTCAGTCTGAGAGTTTCAGGCTAAATTCAGGCTTTTGTGATGGGACTTAAAAGCCTGAATTTAGCCTGAAACTCTCAGACTGAAGAAGTCTCTTGGAGGAGAGACGAAACGTTTCATTAGAGAAGAACCCGTCCAGAGGACCTATACATTTTTTTTCTTTTTGATTTGACTGGAGTTTTAAACTTTAAGTGTATTTTATTTGGTTATAAAACAAATATAATACAAATTAAACCAAGATTTAGAATAATTATCATTTTGATTCATATGGTAATGTGTGACTGGGCCTCGTGTCTCTTTATGTTCAACAATTTGAGCCCCGAGGTCAAAAAGGTTAAGACCCCCTGGTTTAGACGAGTGTTTCAAGTCCCATGGAACTCCAAAGTGCATTAAACTTCAATCATTCTGCACCACCGTGCCCTCTGACCACCATCAAGGTGCGTGAAGTGTTTAGCCCAGTGACACAATGGATGGAACAGGGGATAGAACCGGCAACCCACCAGTTATCCCCTAAACACTCTGCCACAGGCAGAACAGGAAGTGAGTAGAAGATGCTCTCTGTAAGACCTTGGTAATCTTCAGTTAATTGGCTTACAGAAAGCCAAGGTTCCTGAAGCTGCTTGTTTACTTCACTCAGAGTAACTAAAGAAATGTTGCAAAGTTTAAAGCTTCATTATTAACTGATAACATGAATCCTGACAAAAAGAGAGAAGTTATGATCAATCTGTTTTTTAAACAACTTCAAAGGTTTTTAATGTTTTTCACTGAGAGAAGGATGCAAGGAGCAGCAAAGTTCAGACATGATCAAATAAAAACAAACAGGTCTGCAGCAGAAATAAACAACTTAAAATGATACTAAGTTCATGTTGGGCAATAAAAACATTTAAACTCTTCCTTTAAACATTTTTTACATCTTTGCTGTACCTTTACTGCAGCATCTATCTTCTGTTTGGTCTCCAAACAGAAAGTCCCACTTTGCTCGGGCAATTTTCTGCGATCGCTGAGATGATGATAAACCGCTGTCCGACTGTAAGAAGACAAAGGACAGAGATAAAAATACCAACTTTATGGTTCTTTAGGAAAAAATATTAAGAAAAACATATCAGTCAAGATGGCATACAGCTGAGATTTCCAGTTTCTACTTTTATAGTTACTGCATTAAAATACAATAAATGTTATACGTTTTAATATGATCACTATTACATAATATTAACATTTAAAATCTGAGTCCTTAAGTTTCCTTTGAGGGTTTCTTAAGTTTCTTAAGGCAAATCAATTGGAGAGGGTTACTTTTAAGACGTTCAGAATGTAAAAGTTTTAAAAGCACATGAGTTTAGAAAATCTAAAACCCAAGTATTATTAAATGTTTCAACATATTTAAGCTATGTAAACACAAACCAAAACACTAAATTATTATAATTTATAAGGTAGAATATGTGTCTGTTCTTTTTTATTGTCAAATTTGGGAAAATGTTGAATAGAAACAAAATACTGTTTCAACCACAGGATGAGATTAAAAAAAAGGTTTGTTTCTGGGAATCTGCTTTAATCTAAAAATTTATTACTGACAGAAAATCTTAGATAAGTTTTAAGGTTTCTAAAAGAGATCCATGATTAGTTTTAATGTTTGACTTTGATAAACATTTATTTTAAATGTAAAATAAAGACTGCAAAAAATACTGTAGGATGTTCAGTTTTTTTATTTTTTAAACTAAAAGTTTAAATATATATTTTAACACGGACGGAGCCATTTTATTTCCACACAAAGCATTCTGGGTAAATGATGACGTGGATAGGTCCTCGGTGCGAGGCTGCTAGCGAGCTATATCCACCCTGAAGGTTAATCTTGGACAATATCTGATGATCGACTCTTTTAAATGAAACCAGAGAGCGTTGACAGAGAGGAGAAGGTAGAAATGACTCAGCCTGGAACTGAAAATATGGATGGAGGACAACAGAGCTGCTTCATGGAAGAACAACCTCAGCTTAGCCTGTTAGCCTTAGCGTTAGCCCCGATGCTATCACCATATATATGTATTAGCTCAGCGCTACACGTTCTCCTCTCGTCACTGAGGTCCTCCATCCACATGACAGAGAGGGGAACACAAAAATGACTCAGCTGTAACTGAAAATATGGATGGAGGACAACAGTTTAGCTTGTTTGTCGCGCTAGCGCCGAGCTAATACACATATAGCAATATAACGTTGGCGCTAAAGCTAACAGGCTAAGCTGAGGTTCTTCTTCCATGAAGCAGCTCTGTTGTCCTCCAACCCTCTCTGGTCTATAGTCTTTACAGACTGTATTTTGCAGTTAAAATAAATGTTTATCAAACAAAGTCTAATGTTACAACTAATCATGGATCCCTTTAAATATGAACGTTTTCACACATTTTATTGAGAATCTTCTGGAAACTCCATAGAAATATTACTGGTCCTAATACAAAATTAATGATTCTTGTGGTACTGTGTTGCCTCCAGGCATCCTAGCCTATTTTAGCCTTTATAAAGTAAAATAAAATCAGACACATTCAATTGGTCAATGCTAATTCAGAGGAGAAAACTCAATACTGACCAATAAAAATGTAAAACAGAAGCCACATGATCCACAGGGTTTCATTTCGCTCCATTTATCTGTAGATGTGAATGCCTCACACAGCCCCACATTTCCTTCACAGAAATGCACATTTTCACTCATTTTTAAACAAATAATCACATTAAAAAATATGAACCACCTTCAGTGATCAGTAAATAAAGATTTTAGGTATTTTATGATTTGATATCAAATATGTTGTAAGAAATTACAAAACACCTCATGTTGCCCTGAGGCAACATTGTACTATAAAGTAATATCATAAAGTAATCCAGGTTAGAGGTTAGCCACTGGAATACACACTGAGTAAAAATTAGCACATACTTTATCATTTTTTTATTCTATAAAGGTGCATATTGGAATAAAGGTATAAATAATGTTCTACCTTGAAACAGCGCTATTTTTTAAAGCAATAAACTGGTATGAAATTTTGGTTATATTTGTCTTTTATGACGTAGATAGTGGCATAAGATCAACAGATGAAGATGAAAATGTGCCCTTTTAATAAATCTGAAATGTGCAATGCTTGAAAAACTAGAATAATCTGTTATTTTCTTCCTTCGAAGTGTGTGACGTATTTTAAGCAATCAAAACATCAATTTTTATCCCTATTTGATACCATGATGTGTACCACAGAGGGTTAAAGACATTTAGATGCAAACAAGATTGTTGTTTTTGACCTAAAGAGCTCAAAAATACTTTGCCAAGTCTAGATTTTAGAGCTAATGTTCACTGAGGGGTTTCAGTGGTTCTTACAATAGTTCAAAACAGAAAAGCTGTCTGAGTCATTGGGTTCTGTTTGAGAGGGTTTCTTAAGTCTCCTATTGCAACCCTCTCAAATTGGATTGCCTTAAGAAACTTTAAAGAAAATTAAGGTATTTAAAAATACTTTATAAAATTTAAAGACTTTTGAAAATGTTATAATGGAGGACTGAATGGGTAGGAGACCTAATGAAGGTGTTTACTTGTCATTTATGGTTGTTCTTCTCTGACAAATGACAAACTTGATTAAAACATATAATCACAATAATTTGATACAAATATATTGTATTCTTTGACTTTATTTATGGCAGGAATGAATGCTGTGCAGCTCTACAGACAGTGAGTCACACTTATACACTATACACAAACATTCAAAGCAAACACAACCTAAAACACACACCAATATTCCCACAACCCCATCACCACCCATTCAGCCAACCTGCATCCCAGAGCTGCTGTCTGCAGTACCATGACTTGTCAAGCTTGAGGTTTCAGGAGACAGACTGCTGCTTCTGTCCAACTGGAAACCATCTCCCAGGCTTCCAGTCATCCCACTGGAGCTCTGAGAGAACATTCCTTTGGATCCAGTGTAATCCTGAGCCTCTCTTTGATCCATGACTGTCTGGTACTCCTGTGCTGGTTGTGTTTGTACTCCTTTGTCTCTTGCATCCTTTTTACAAAACTCTTTGCTCTGAGTATAAAACCCAGAAGACTGCTGATAGTGGTTTTCTTCATTGATTTTTCCTCTGTCTTGGATCAATCCAGTCTCTTTCCACTCCTGCTGCATGGAGGTCCAGCTAACAGGCAGAGCCTCACTATTTTGGCAGGGTGGATGTCTTCTGGCACCTTCAGGGCTGGACCTTGATAATCCATCAAAGAGGTTATCATAATGCTTGTGCTCAGTGCCAGGTGATTTATGGACCCCTGTGCATTGTGGTAGCTGGTAGTGGTGCAGATCAGACCTGTCTTTAAATGGTATTGAGCTTAGTTTCTGATGGGGGTCCAGCACTTGTGATTGAGAGGTAGATTCACGGTGCATTTTACCTGGCAATGCAGGAGATGATGGCGTTGAGGAACTTTTCTGAGACATAAGAGGATAAATACGGCCTGGTTTAGTCTGAGGTATCAGTTTTTCTGTTTTCTTGTCGTGATTCTGGTTGTTCATCTGTAAAGAATCAAGTGAGCTTTGCCAATGAAGAGATTCTTTTGGAAATGGCCCTGAATTTTTTGGACTGTCAGATCTCAGCGACTCGGCCTGAGATGGTGTTGGAGAGGGAGTAAGGTTGCCTAGAAAAAAATTTGACATTTTCTTTGACTCGACAGATAACTTACAATCCAGTTCAGAATTTGATGATGGGGAGAGGCTTCTCCTGTCATTGACAGAACTATCAGCATCACTGGCTCTGCTACTGCAGCGTGATGAATAACAGAGACTCTGAGGGTTCAGGTATTCATTAGAACTGTAGCTTAAACGCGTTGCATCCTGATGACTGGTGTTTGAAATTTTATTAACACTGTGATGGGAGTAATCAGTCCTAGAGGGATTGCTTGTATGAAAAGTACCTGTTGGAATCTCATGCTGAATGTCTGTGGGTCTTCCTGCAGGTAGCGGCAGGTGAAATTTGTTTGGAAAAATGGGATGTTCCTCCGACATCCACTGCCTCTGTAAGCTTTGGGTTGGACCGTGAGGACGAGGTGTGGACATTGAAGAAACAGTATGAGATGAGTTTTCCACTTGAGCACATAAATGGTCAGAGGCAGGACTTCTAGGCAATCCATTCATTGAGCCATGGCAGACTTTTCTGTCTAGCTCCAGTAGTTCAGTTTTGGATGGGAGGGTGAGAGTACCATGAGACGGGACAGGTGACTTACTCCAAGACCGACAGTGAGGAGACTGATGCGGTTGCAATAATGTTGTACTGCAGTTCTCTGAATTGTGACCTGCAAATCTGTGTCTAAGTTTTGGGGATCCAAACTCCTCCAAGGCCCTGTATGTGGCATCTCTGGCAACTGCATCCATAGTAGCCCTTGATAAACAAGGTGAGTTCCTTGGGTTATCAGTCCTGGATTGTTGAGATTGACGGTGGAATGTGTCATCACTTGCTGGATCATCAGTATACCACACTGGATCACTCGTCCTCTTCTGGACAGGAGCATGTTGCGGCTGCACTTCAAGTCTGTTTTTGTTTTCTTTTGAACACATGGAGTTACAGTGTCCAGCCATGCTGTTGACACTAGCTTTTTCTATGTACCCAAAGGAAACCACTGATGTCCTTCCATTCACATTCATCATTTCTGGATCCTCATAAGACCTGCAGTGGCTAGGGGAGGGAACAGTTAGCCACCCACAGGATGTAGGTGATTGGGGTGTAGGCACCTTTCCATGGTACGAATCTGCTTCAGGGGAACAGCGTCCAAATGAATCTGAATTAGATGTGTTTGGTGCTAGGACCTTGAGTAACTCCCCAAAGCTGTCATTCAACATATCAAACTGGGTTGGAGACTCTGTAGGGTTAGAGTTTTGAAGTTGGAAGCTGACCGAATGCCTAGAGGATGACTTTGAAGAGGGTAAGTTGTGGTTACCATTCCCTGAACGACGAGACATGATTGGGGAAACATCTGGACTGCGGTTTGGACTGGAGTAGGCAGAGCTTCTCTGAGAGTTAGTGAGGATA